ATTTTAGGAACAGAATGAATAATATAGTCTTTTTTTTTTTTTGGTTTTTTGAGACAGGGTCTCACTATGTAGTTGAGACTGAACTGGAACTCGCTATGTAGCCTAGGCTGGTCACGAACTCACAGCGATCCTCCTGCCTCAGCCTCCTGAGTGCTGGGATTACAGGCGTGCACCACCACGCCTGGCTTATAGTCTTGAACTATAACTCAAAGCATTAAATAAACGAGTCCATACTGGGATAAATGATGGAGCAAATAAATGGAGAAGGTACAAATCTTCATTATAGAGCAATTTCAGGTGTTATAAGTAAATACTCTCTCCATCCAGGAGGTGGCGCTTAATTCTTCTTCCTGTTTCTTTTCAGTGGCCAGAACCAGAGAGCTAAATCCCCGGCCCTTCTTCCTGTTTCTTGAGGGTGAATTTGATTTAATGACTCACTTTAAAGAACAGAGTTTGGAAAGGAGAACTCAGCAATCTTACAGTGGAAAAACATGGCCACCACCATCCTAATCAAGTAATCAAGCTTAACATGGCTGCTGCTAAGTCATATTGTTGTGATGTAGCCCATTTGGTATGATGTGATTAGAAAGATTACTTCTATGAACTTCATCCCCCAAACCTAGAACCCCAGTCTAATTACAAAACACCCAACAAATCCAAATTGAGAATTGTTCTACAAAATACATGACCAAGTTCACTTTATAACTGTCACAGTCATAAAAAAAAAAAAAGAAATGACTAAGAAAAGGTCAAGGTGATATGACAACTGTATACAATTTGATATCCTGGACTAGAACCTAGCACCCAAAAACAGTACACATGGAAAGACTGGTGAAATCTGAACACAATGTGGAATTTAGCTTATAAGAATATGCCCATTCTAATTTCTTACGTTTGACAAGCGTATCATGGCTTTGGATGATGTTAATATTAGAGGAAACTGGATAAAGGATATAAAAACAACTGCACTATCTTTGCAATTTAAATCTAAAAAATTTAAAAGTATTCCAAAGTAAAACGTTTACTAAAGCAGTCAGTCCAAGCAAGGTGAATCAGGCCGTAGGCCTTCTGTTGGAACTTCTGGTTTGGAATAAAAATAAATCTTTTTATGAAATTATTACCCAGAATCATCAGCTACCACAGTAAACTACCAGCCCTTAACTCAGAGATCAGCTGTGCCTAGATTTATACTCTGTTCCTTCCTGCTAATGAATGTCCCGTTCCTTTGTATTTTGTTAACACAATGGTTGAAACTCTAGTAGCTAATATGAATCATGAGATGACTTTAGGCCTACAGTCCTGAACAGGGGATTTAAAATGTAATATATTTTATGAAACCAAACTTGTCGATTTTCAGGCACACAATTATTTTATGTAGCATGAAGAAAGCAAAAAAATGCCACCAATTAAACTAGTACACCATATTTTCCTAGCACTTTGGTTTTTCTTACGTTTTTCAGCATACACTTATTGAAAGAACTTTCAGTCTTAGTAGGCATAGATTTTTTTTTATTATCGCATTCTTATGCACACACACAAAAAGGAAACTGCACTAAAGAAATTAAAGTACTACTAGAACAACTTCAGATTCAAAATTCAACTCCTTTAAATCACTTTTGTACTCAGAATCTTTTGTGTCTCTTAATATTATCCTTGTGGCAATGTAGTGGCAATGTAGTATTTAAGAGTATGCCTCTAATGTCTCCAAGGTTTTCTTCCCACCTGCTGATAGCACTCTGTTGAGTTTTGAAGTGCACCCCAAAGATGTGAAAACAATGTGACTCCTGGAATCAATGAAATGCAACAGAAAGACACAAGCTACTCTGAGCTGTTTTGTTCCCTACTCCTTATCCACATGGCAGACAAAATTTATCTTTTCTAAGTCCTTACTTTTCTAGTCTTTGTTACTACTCATAAACCACCCCAATCCAAACTGAACAATTCTTTAAAAAGAACACTGCCATTATTACTTTCCATTCTCACTGTCCCTTACTCTTCTCCAATGATCCCCTTGGCTAGTGAATTAGGTGTAAATTTATTTATTTTTTATTTTTATTTTTTGTGGTTTTTTGAGGCAGGGTCTCACTGTGCAGTTGAGACTGACCTGGAACTCAATATGTAGCCCAGGCTGGTCTCGAACTCACAGCGATCCTCTTGCCTCGGCCTCCTGAGTGCTGGGATTACAGGCGTGCACCACCACGACAGGTTTAAATTTATTTTCTTTACCTTTCAGGCATCCAAACATTTGCTAATATAATTAACTCTCATTCACCTTTCACTTAAGATTTTCTGAAATAAATTCTCCACTAATAACCTCTGAAAAGTAACTCAAGACTACTATTACTATTACTACTCACACTCACACCCTCTTTGTAAAATAATTTATTTTAAAATATGAAGCATAATATCACTTCCAAGATTGCTGATAATGCCTTCCTCTACTGAATACCTGATTAGACATGTTTCTTCGGTTTGTGAAAAGAACTTGGAGTTAATGGCAAATGAAAAAAAAAATAATAAGAGAATTAAAAAATGAGAAATGCAGAACAAATTTCCAGAGTAGAGAAAATTCAGGAGAAATTAATGGGTGTTTTATACTGATTGTCACACATTTCTGAAGAAAAAGATACTTTTCCTTTTTCTCGAAAATGGAGTATAAGTTGTCAGTGACAACCATCTATTAAGAAATTTCCTTTTGTGATAGAGTAAGGATTTTCCTCCTAGAGGTAAATTATTCAACACAGTTAATTTGAATCTGTGTTTGAGTCTGAAATGAAGTTATCAATTTTACCATTTTCCCTTAGTTTGTTCTGATATTATCATTGCCTCAGTCTCTGGTACCCATAGCAACAGCTGCTGTTTCAAACATCATTCCCCCAAGGTGCAGAGCACAGCCAATGACTGACAATCATCCAGCTGTGAGTCTCCGGGTAGTACTTTCCAGGGCTGGAAGGCCCAGTCACATCTCACTTCCAGTGATTAAAAGTCCAGTTATCAAGGAATCGAGAATATGGCACACCCTCAAGATGCTTGCACACTCCTTTTGTTAGGACCGTGGTAGGGGAAGGTGGGAAAACCAGGAGATTTGCATCAAGGGACAAAGTCCAGACACTGGACAGTATAATGGGGCAAACTTAATCTAAAAGTTACTTCTTTCTACCACCGTCCCATACATTTGAAAGGCTTTTTGTGACAAAAGGAGGGGACTTAGAAAACTCACCTGTTTCTTGTAGAAGAAACAGGATAGAACAAATGGAGCCACCACTGTAACACAATTTCCCTGCCAGGGCAAAGGAGTGAGATATGACTCTATAAGCAGTGGCTTGGAATGGGCACTGGAGTGTTATCACCATTGCCTTTGACTCTTGTAGGTAAGGAAATCTTGTTTTACTAGGCAAAACAAAAAGATGTAGTTCTAAATAAACTTCTCTCCATTGTCCAAGAGTCCTTCTGAATCACAGTAAAGAGAATGATAACATAAAGAGGAGGCTCGGTGACCATAACAGTCTGGAGTCAGTTATAGATGCCAGTAAAGAGACTCCAATAGGCAGTGGTTAATTACAGTACGCTATATAATGTAATATACATTACAGTACACAGCATATGGCAACATACAGGCCTCCCTGTCCATGCCTTCGGATGAGCTGGATTGTCCTAGAGGACATGTTGTGAGGCTTCCTCCTTTACCTATTGTGTCTGAAGAGAAGCTATTCCCAGGGATGACATCTGTGCAATGGTGCATCCCTGGGGATTTCCCAATTTAAGGTCTTCCCAGGTATTTGGCGCCAGCTGAGGTAATAGTGCTGCTTCGTGTGTGGGAAGAAAGAGCCTCAACAGAGGGATTCAGGTGCTGACTGCCTTCCTGGGAGGTGCCCTGTACTTCTTATATGGTCTGTTGCTAGTTGTAAAGGCTTCTTTCATATTAGGAAGATTTTGGCTGAGGTTTAGAAGCCATCCCCACCTGAGGCTGGAAGGCACACCTGTAATTAGGGGGAAAACTACAGTGTTCAGGGCTGTCTTTAAGAGTGTTGGGGATTTCCCTCCCTTCTGGGGCTGGTAATCTGGCTAGGTTCCCAGTCTACCTGCACAATTTTCCTTAACTCATTGATATACCTGTGGGGTAAGGAAAAAAAAAAGGAATACAGCATCATAAAACCTATGTTATTGTCCTTATTCCATAACTTCTTGCTCTGTGTGGCCTCCCTTTTTCTCACTGATAAAGACACAGGCATAATACCTTCTCTTCTTACTCCTTAGGTTTCTTATAAAAATACAAAATGATAATGTAAACAAAAGGACTCAGACTTGCAAAGTTCTACTGTTATTAGTCAGCCTCATGGCTAGGGGGAAACCAGCCTAAAGCTCATTTCCTGAAAGCCTAGGGTGCCCTTGTCAAAGACATTCCTTGCTATGCCACCTTCCAAGGCTGTCCTGCTACCAAGAAGCAAAAGCCATTAATATTTACATATTTTTAGTAAACTAAAAGTCTTCCAGTAACGTTAAATATACCTGCATTTATTTTATTTATTCTGTTCTGGGATAGCACTCATGGCCCTCTACATGCTAGGCAATTGAACTTACCAGTAAGTTACACAGCAACCTAGAATCCTTTCATTTCCTGCCCTATCCCATTTCCTTAACGTCTGCCCCACAGGCACTGTTTTCACACTTTTATAGTACACAGATACCAGACCTCAGACCATCCACACCATCCCATCCCACGTTTCTCCATCACGGTGAACCCTCAGCTGCCGGTGGGTGAGGCACTGGTAGGTGGGAAGACTCCTGTATACCCATTTTTTTTTGTACCAGGGTTCTAACTCAGGTGCTTGCACTTGTGAGGCAGGCGGCAGAACAACTGAGCTAAATCCCCGCCTAGATACCCATTTTATACCCACAGTTTAGATCTGGCATTTTTAAAAAAGTGTGGGTTCCATACACAAGAACCAAATGGACACCTTCATTGCACTAAGAACCAAGCAACTTTATTGGAAGCAACAGTATCACTGAAATAGGTGAAATAACGAGGTTTTAGGAGAGGTGTGCGTGCCCTGCCTGGTGACCCAGGGAAAACCCCATGGCCCTGCCAACAGTTCACGCTCAGTTCTCTTCGTGGCTGCCGCCACCGTCATCATCGTCCAGGTTGAGCCAATGAAAGCAGTTCTCCAGGCCCTCTCTCTGAAACCCCATCTCGCTTAGGTTTTTCAAGCACTCTTCCAACTTAATGAAGATTGTAACCTGGGGAATCAAGAAGTTTCTCTGAACAAAGTCACGCAGTTCACAGTCATCTTTGCTGGCTGCCATGTTCTGCAGCACCTGGAGGCTCCTTTTGAGAATGTTTTCCAGATAGATGGCGTTCTCCACACACTGCATGCTGCCCTGCCAGTCGGTGCAGTCGGGCTCAACAATGTCGCGAAGGATGACGTGCCCACCTCGCTTGTTCTGCATCCACATGAACTTCTCAGCTCCTTCTCTCCACCAGTCAGACTGGTGAAGAAAGAAGCGCGAGAAGTCCTTCAGGGCCACGTTGAAGCGTTCGCAGTAGACCGCCATGGACAGGTAGACGTAGGAGGCATAAAGCTGCAGCTGGATCTGGACGTTGACCCAGGCCTCACAATCCGGGTGATAGTTTCGTGAGGCCTGTGGAACCGCGCCGGGCAAGCTGAGCATAAAGGCCGCGAGGGCTGCAAAGTGAGAGCGAGATTGTGGAGTACGGATGGGGCAGTGGGGAGAGGTACCTCTGCAAGGTCTTTCTGGTGTCCCCATGGTGGCTGAGAAAGTAGTCGGCCAACGGCTCCCAGCAGAAGCTGAGGTGCGAGTAGTCAGCGGGTCTGAGGCAGGGCGGAAATGGAAAGTTCCAGAAGCAGGCGGGGCCGGAAGTGCAAGGGCCAGAAACAGGTGGGGCCGGAAGTGCAAGGGCCAGAAACAGGCGGGGCCGGAAGTGCAAGGGCCAGAAACAGGCGGGGCCGGAAGTGAAAGGGCCAGAAACAGGAGGGGCCGGGAGTGAAAGGCCCAGAAACAGGCGGTGCCGGAAGTGAAAGGGCCAGAAATAGGAGGGGCCAGAAGTACAAGCGGAAGTAGGTAGGACAGAAGTGGGTGGAGATGGCTCTTGGGTTATTTGTCAGAGGCTGGGCTCAGGTCTCAGTAGTCAGGGACGTGAGTGCAGAGTTCACTGAGCAGTTTGGGCAACTCTATGCTATATAACCTATACCTTGGTTTGAAAGATTATTTATGAATGTAATGCACATTTTTTGATAATCACCTGGTTTAAGCAACTTATCTGAATATTGTCTAAATGTGACCGTTTCATTAAGTATGGTGGTTTTTATGGTATATTCAATACCATAAAGCTTTATTTGAATAGTAGTTGTTCTCAATGCTTGAATACTTATATGACCCCTCTGAGGAAGAGGTTGCAGGTCAGGGGCAGTCATTTAAGTGCTGAATTTCATCAGCATCTCTGGATAACTTTACAGTCTTACTTCTATTGAATTTTAATTTTGTAACATCTCTAGCATCTAAGGACTTATTCTTTTTCTGTATAGTGCCCTTCTAGCACAGCCTGTTTTGTTAAAGTTCTGTTCTATTTTCTTTCTTAAATCTCCAGAATTAGTTCTATTTGCTCATCATGATCTCTTCATTTCCCTAAAATATCTGGCCAACCACTGTACATTCCTAATAGGCGGGGGATAGAAAGAGGAGGAGGGGAGAAGAGAGAGAAAGAGGGGAAAGAGAAACTTCTCGGAGACAGGGACAGAAAGGGCAGGAGGAGTACTTAGTTTGGGGTTTTCCTTTTTTGGGGGGGGGTTTATTTGACACAATTAAAGAACTTAAGTAGATGTTCTAGTACAATTTATAGAAAAGGTAAAGGTAACCCTAACATGCATGCACTGCCCTGGCAACATCAGCCTAGCGAGGTTGGTCACGTGGTCATTCAGCTGTTTGATGGACTTCATTTGCTCATCCAGGTAGTAAGTCTCAATGAAGTCACACACGTGGGGGTCGTTCTTGTCAGTGGCCAGCTTGTGCAGCTCCAGGAGCGACTGGACCACACTCTTCTCCAAGTGTAATGCACACTCCATCACGCTCAACCCGAGCCCACTTTCCCAATCATCACAGTTTGGTTTCTTGATATCCTGAAGGAAGATCCGGCCACCATGCTGGTTCTGCAGCTTCACCAGCTTCTTGGCATTGTCCCCTCTCCTCATGAGATTGATGAATTGCTTCTCAGCCTTTTGGTTAAGGTCAAGTGTGAGACTGAAAAAGATTGATTGGCAGGCTGGAGATTTAGCTTAGTGGTTCCGCTGCCTGCTTCGCAAGCACAAGGTATGGAGTTCAATCCCCGGTGCCCCCCAAAAAAGTATTTGGCAAAATTCCTCAAAACCACATCATCATGGCCAAAGTAGTAAGACATAGACAGGTAGATGTAGGAGGCATACAGCTCCAGGTTGATCTGGCAGTTGATGGCGGCCTCAGCATCCGGGTAGTTCTGGAGCACCTGTGAGGGCAAGGCTGCATTGGGCGGTGGTGAGGGCGGGTTGCACAAGTGAGTGCTGGGCTCCGTTCAAGCACTGTTGAAGCAGGAGGCCGCAGCAACGCTCTGCGAAGACCAAAGAGTACTGAGTTTTATCAGCAACCTATATGACACTCCTCTGAGCACCTCTAGACCATTAAGAAAATTATTGCCTTGTTGAGATATGCTTTCTATGTCATAAAACGAATCCTTTAAAAGTAAACATTTCCATGACTTTTAATACATTCATAGCATTCTGTAGCCATCACCAAAATTCCAATTTCAAAGGGGTTTTCTCCAAAATATCTCTGATCCATTAGTAGTCAACTCATCTTACCTCCTCTGCAAAACTGACAAGCAATAATCTACTTATTTTTACGTATGCTTATTATGAGCATTTCATATCATGAAATTATATATGTGGCCTTTTGTATGTGACTTCTTGCAACTAGCATAATGTTTTTAATCTTCATCATTTTACTCCTGAATAATATTTCATTGTATGGATATACCATATTTTATCTCTCCTTTGATCAGCTGATGAACTTCTGCATTATTTTCATTCTGTAGCTGTCATATCTAATGATGCTATGAATATTTATGTACAGGTTTTTGCAAAGATGTTTGTCTTCAGTTCTCTTTGATATGTACCTAGTAAGAGAACTGCTGGGTCAAATGTTAATTTTGTATTTAAGATTTTTAGGAACGACTAGACTATTTTCCAAAGTGGCTGCACCATGAGCAACGTAGACAAAACTACTTTTTTTTTTTTTTTGTATCAGGGATCAAATTCGGCAAGGCAGGCAGCAGAACCACTGAGCCAAACCCCCAGCCCTGACAAAACTTTTTTTAAACTTTTATAACTTTTATTTCAGTTATCTAGTGGATGTAAAATAGTATCTCATTGTGGTCTTAATTTGTATTTCCTAATGACTAATAATGCTGAGCATCTCTTTATGCCCTTACCATATATATATATCAGGGATCAAATTCGGCAAGGCAGGCAGCAGAACCACTGAGCCAAACCCCCAGCCCTGACAAAACTTTTTTTAAACTTTTATAACTTTTATTTCAGTTATCTAGTGGATGTAAAATAGTATCTCATTGTGGTCTTAATTTGTATTTCCTAATGACTAATAATGCTGAGCATCTCTTTATGCCCTTACCATATATATATATACTCTTTTCAGATATATGATACACAAATAATTTCTATTATTCTATGGGTTGGATTTTCACTTTCTTAATCGTGTCCTTTAAATTTCCAAAGTTCTTAATTATGATGTTTATCTATTATTCTTGTGCTTTTGGCATGAGATGTAGGAAACCACCGCCTAATGCAAGGTCACAAAGATCTACACCTAAACATGCTTCTAAGAATATTATATATTTTAAGTCTCAGATCCATTTTGAGTTAGGTTTTACATATGATACAAGTTATGTGAGCACTTTCATTCTTTTGTATATAAATATCCATTGTGTACAGCACTATTCGTTAAGACTATTCTTTCTCTTCTGGATCAACTTGGCACACCTGTCAAAAATTAATTGACTGTAGATGTAAGGGTGTATTTCTGGAATCTTAATTCTGTTCTGTCTCTCTCTAAATGTGCCATGTCTTGATTATTGTTGCTTTGTAGTAAGATTTGAAATAGAGAAGTTGGAGTTGTCACAACTTAAACTAGTTAATCGAGATAGATTGTAAACCTTCAACCCAATCAATGGGGAAAAAAGTTCAGTTGCTTCTCACACAGCATGGATAAAAAGCGCCTTCTGTGACCTCCCCATGTGCCTGCTACATCACACTAGAGTGTTCTCACACCCTTCTGCAAACCTAAAATCTTGCCTATTGAGATTCTTGGTGCCTGAGTGCTTTATTATCTGTACTGACAAATTGAGTCTGGGGCCATATTCCCCACCTGTGGTTTCCCATGGAAAGAGTCATCCTATTTTGACAAACTGTATATTTTTAAAATCAGCAACAAAAAAAAA